TTTATTTATTTTTTTTTTTTTTTTTATTTTTAATTATTGAAATTCTTCCAATTACAATATAAAATTTAAAATTCTATATTATGTAGAAAATTCTGCAACAATTACATTTAAATACACTTATTTTCTAAGGATCTTGTCTATACACTATGTATCTATGTATTTAGGAGTCTTTCGAAAGCTATCATACTATCATAAAATACTTGATCACTAAGATTTTTGAGCCGCATTGACCTATTTTATTTAATGCTTTTCTTCACTAAAGCTATCAGTGGAGCAGAAACGGATATTTAGTGATATATCACTATCTGTTCGCCCAGTTATAAATGTTGATTTCTGATATAGAAAATAATGCATCACATTTTTAATAATCTCATAACGAAAAAACATAAAAAATGCATCTCTTTGGTTATTATAGCTAATCAAAATTTAAGAGCAATCACATTCGCTATGAGCAATAAAGAAAATTTTATTGCCATGCAACAAGAGTAATTTCAAGCTCAGTTGATAACTGGCAAAAAAACTCCCAAATAAAATGCGTCACAGTGCACAACAGCGCCATTAATCAGAAATCAAAACACATCTAAAGTTTGCCAGGTAGCCCAATGGGTAAATAGACAGGTGCTAATTACTCACATGCTGTGAGTGTAACCACAAAGTGTGCCGCCCCGAGAAGTGTTTGGCAAAAGTTTAGTCCGCCTGCAACGGCAAACGCAAATGCAAAACAGTGTTAATTGTTACAGTTGCTCTGTGTTGTGGGCTGAAGTTGATGAATTTAGCGGGCAGAGCCATTGAGGGGGCTGGTCTGAATAAGTCAGCTCCCCCTTTGCGTAGTGGGTGTGCGTGCAAATATTTTAGCTGAATTAAAATTGCAGCTACAAATAATTACCAAGGGTCTGGCTCAGACAGCCAGAGAGGGATAGCCAACGAGTGATGGAAGGGGAAAGAAAGAAAGAAATGACAGAGTACATTGAGCTATGCAAGTTTTAATTAGTTAATTAAACGTTTGGCGCCAACCAAAGCAAGCACACACTGCGTATGAGTAATACTTGCATGCATACATGGCGAACGGGCCATAGAGCGCGTGAGCGTTTTCCTTCGTGGCTGTCGACGCCCGTCAGGACCATGCACGGAGGGCGCTGCGGTCGACAGTGCCGCTGCTAAGTAATTTCCTCTGGCGGATGCAACTAATTACTAAACATTTCGCATAAAATTCCCAACTTGACAGGATCTAACTGCACTGTTCGTTCTTAGCCTTAGCCACAAGCACTTGTTGGCCCTTTGTGTCTGTCTGAGTGTGTGTATGTGTGTGGGTGTGTGGGTGTGTGGGTGTGTGGGTGTGTGGGTGTGTGGGTGTGTGTGTGTTTGGCTTGTTATCAACAAATCTACATGCGGTTTTGTGCTAATTCACCAATCCCTCGCTGCCATACACATTCTCTCTCCAGCAGAGGCTATAACGTATGTGGTGCGCCAGAGACAGACAACGGAGAGGGAGAGAGAGAGAGAGCGAGCGAGGCAGACAGAGAAAGCGCGAAGGCGAGACAGCGAGAAAGCGAGAAAGAGAGTGAAACAAGGCGCTGCAACATTTCCGCTTTCACACACACAAACACACACGCACACACACACACACACACACTGACACAGTCACAGAAAGAACGAGCCGTCAGCCGATGAAAAATGATCGTAAAATAGCAGAAATTATTTAACACTATTTTGCATTTAATGCAAAAAGTTTTGCATTCACTTGCGACTCGTTTGTGCGCCGCCTGAAAATTGTTACCAGAAGTTCACAGAAGCTGCAAAGTTTGACACGACAACGACTTGAGCGCCCAGCGAAGCGTTTAATGGCGAACATGCAGCCGCAAATAAAATCCCTTGACAGAGCCACAATAATTAACGCGCCCCCAACTCGGCTATGTAATTCAGGTGTACAAAGTGGGTCCTTCAGCAAAGGCGGCGCGGCTCCACATGCAAATACAAATACTACATAAAAATGAATACAGTTTACAAGCCCTTTCTTTACATTTCTGAAACTCATTTGGATTTATTAGTTTCTTGAATAACTTCGAATTTAAGGTAACAGCTGAGGGCCATTAAAATTAAAATGGTATTTGAAGTAGTGCTGAAACACGTGTCGTTTAAATTTAATTTCTATTGGAATTCTTTCACTTATTGGGTGATTTGGGATTCCCGATAATTTGCTCATTAACGAGGCAAACAAAAGTAATTGGTATATATATTCGAGGAAAATGACTACCTTATGTAGAAATTTGTATATACGATAGCTAAATGCTTTTTATACTCATTTACGAAAGTGAAATGAGTATGTTGGTTGGAACATATACTCGTGTATATCTCCGATTTATAAAGTGCTAATATTTTCCCCATCCGCCTTCTAAGGGCGTGGCAAATCGACAAATGCATTTTCCGATATACCAGAAATCATATTAGTCGAAGAGCTAGAGAGTTGAAATTTGGAATGTAGATCCGGGTCTGAAGATACTTAGTTACTAAATTGCTGATGGGATGTGAATAAGCATTCCGCAGTCGGTAGCGCACGACTGCAACGTTCTTACTTGTTAAGAATGTGTTCCACACGGTAGTTAAATATACAATTAAAGAATTCTGCGAAATAAAGGCTACAGCACTATCTATCTGTATATTGCTTTACATATAGGCAAAGGTACAGATAGACAAACAGCCATATAAGAAATGATACATCAATTAAAAGTTTGTATATTCATTAAGAGGCAAACCAGATTAATTAGAAGTCACTCTTAGAGACAATCGACCTTCAGTTCATAAGCACCCAATCACGAGGGCAAAGTTGATGTGAACCCAACAGAGGTTCGCCACATCGGTCAGCCTAGACTAGGTCGACCGGAGTTCAGCTCACGTTGATCAGTTCACAAAATTTATTTATGGAAACGTGATTCTTGCTTATTAAAAAAACATCTGCACAACACCATATTCATTCGGAATGGGTATTGTAAAATTTTCCAATAGGCCGCACTTGACTCTGTCGTTTTGCTCAATTGTGCAAAGGGCGCCGACAATTTTAATTTGTTTTAACTATTACTCACTGTAAAGCTGCGACTGGGGCTGCAGTCGCTGTTGTTGTGTTTCCGTGTGCATGTTTGCCTGCCCATTGACACCGCGGTCCAGGTCCAGTCAAGCGCTCAATGCACACAAAACTCTGTGCGCTGGGTGTGCTGGACGGACGACGACGCAGGCGACGCAGGCGGCGCAGACGACGTGTAGCTGGCCCAAAAACCGGATCGCCAGCCAGCTAATCCATAGGCCGCACTGTCCACATTGGCCTTTGGGCCCAAGATGTGCAGTCGTTTGTTGTACAATAAAATCTGACAGCTGCGCTGTGGACTGCGCTGCCGGCGTTGCAGTCGCAGTCGCAGTCGCAGTCACAGTCGCAGCTGTCGCTGGCAGCGATACACGAACCTTCCGACGACAAACGTAACGGCCTCTAGCCGCACCTGACGACGACGCCGATTCGACCGCGAACGAGATCGAGCCAACAAAAGTGCCGCCCAAGAGGCAGCCGCAGCCGCCGATGACAACAAACCCGTCGTGGCACTCGCAGACGCAAGACGCAGCGCGCTTCGATCCGATCACAAAAGTGAAAATAGCTGAAAAGGCAAAAATAAAAAGAAACAATCATAATAAAAGCAATCGACCACAAAACAACCATAAAAACATCAAGAGCGAGAGGGAAGAGAGAAAAGTACGAAAACAGAAATCGTTGAAAAACTTCGCGTGTCACATTCAAATGTACAAAATGCAGCTCTCTGCTGATCTCGAAAATTGATAACGTCTGTAAACTAACATATGTTAAATCAAAACAAAGAACAACAAATCAGTGCATTTAATTAGAATCAAACGATCGGCTTGAAGATGATTTATTTTCGTTGACAACGCCTCAAAGTAGATGATGGGCGAATCTAATTATTTCATAAACGTGGCCCACATTATTTTCATGGCCCTCTGCTCGTCGGGCTAATTACGTATGTTTCGAGCCAGAAACGTGACTGGCATATCGAAAAGACATAAGGTCGCCCACGCACATGGGCCATGGAAAAGTTCGCCCCAAACTAAACAAATTAGGTTTTCATTAAAATGTCTGCCCAAAACTGAAGAAATTGCAGTGGAAAATTTTACATCTCAACCAAAAAAATGTCTAAGATAATAAATATGTTGAATAGCCAAATGAGGGACGTACGGATATCGGAAAAATAATGAAAACAAAAATCAAAAACATCGTAAATGCAAATGAATGGAAAATATTGTATTCGTTGATCGACAATATAAATTACTGAAATTAATTCGAGTTACTATCTAAGTCAAGCCGAGGGTCAAATACATATTCTTTGCTAGTGCTGTTAAAAACAAAATTAAATTAAACTAAAGCCCATCTAAAAATAGTCAGATTAGTCATCTGCGCAATAATTGAAATTCTGTTAGAACTCTGAGTGAAAGATGACCAAGAAACGGAATATGCGATGACTTTTTGTGTTTGTTTGATGAGCAGCAGTTTAATTGGAATGCAAAACGTGTTTTAAATATTTTAAGCAGATAGCGTAACTAATTTCGTTTTTAGTATCTTTTATTTAAATTAGTCACACGAGCCAGAACAAGTTTCCAAAATTCATCTATTACAATCTGCTGTCGACAATGATAATTCATAATTTATAACTTCTGTCGGTTGGCCTGAAGGTGCGCAAAGACCAGGCTTACAAGTTCGACTCGTGACAGGTTCACAAAGTCAAGAGCTTCCTCAATTCCGGTCTAGAAACGCTGCGTGAGTGATGGAGCGAGCTAGCTAACTAACATGTACATGTATAAATATTTGTATACCTGGCAAATTAATAATAATAACTGTGCAAAACACAACAACAACAACAGTCCGTCAGTAAATTGCTAAGGGCGTGATTGTGGGACTGTTTCCGCAAATTATTATTGCTTGTTTAGCCGGGCTGGCTGGGTGGCTGGCTGGCTGTCTATCCCCAGGCCGCAATCGCATTAGCATCAGTTTTTGGCCGCACAATTGCCCAGCGAATTCATAGAGAAAGAGAGAGAGAGAGAGAGAGAGAAAGAGAAATTAATTAGTGACATTATAAATAAAGCATAATCACTTTGGTGGCAAATCATTTGACATTCGCTCGCTCGCCAGCGAACAGTGCGCGACAAAACACAAGCGAAACGAACGGCAAAACAAAAACACAGAAGAAACTCGTAGCAAAAGAGACCAGAGTTAAAAATAACACAAAGGAAAGCGAAACTGAAATCAAAACAAACACAAAAACAAGAACAGAAACAAAACAAGCAGCGTCGTAAATAGTCACAACTGCGCCGGTCGCAGCAGCCAATCACGAGCCGGTCACGTGGCCAGAGCGAGCGTGGGGTAATCAATTTCCTTCCATTCCGCGGCCTGGCTGCCGTCTGTCACATCATTTCTTGTGCTTTGTCTTTATCACTTAGTGCACATCTCACTCATCGCAGAGGGGGCGGGGGGCGTGGCGTATATGGCGGCCATTGGCACAGGAAATCATCCGCTATAAATGCGGACACAATGCCGGGCAGCTAGCCAACCTTTGCCAATGCCCACATACATATGTCATGCATCGGTGTGTTTTGAAAAGCAAATATTAAATTATTCCGTTCGGCTTAGCAGCGCGAAACAGTTAAAAATTGGCACAATTTGCTGTCGGGTGAAATTCAACAGTTATTTTTAGCCGGCATTCAAAAAAGTGAATTTAAGTACTTTGAAGCGCCGCGATAATTGATCAAACAAACATCAAATTATATAGTATATCACACTCTTTATTCGACAGAAGCGCGTAACGGAAGAACTGTGTTAATTTCAGACTGGAAGTTGACTGAAGGTAAGTGCGAATGAGCACCGTGTGTCATGTGTAGACTAAGCCATTGGGACATCTCACATAGAGTCAAATATTGGGTGATTCACTTAACTTGTGACAATCGGGCCAACAATTTATTCAAGGTATCATGCTGTCAGAGCGAGAGTGGGAGAGGGGGGGAGGGAAGGGGAGTGATGGTGCTGGGGCTGCTGCAAAACATGAAACATTTTGCAATGCGTTTGTCATGCAATTTTAATCGCAATTGCATTTTTAATTTTCCTCTTCCATCTGACGCCAGCGCACCTTGCCAAAGGAAAGAAAAATGTGCGCAGCGAGAGAAAAAGCAGTGAAAGAAAGACGGGGACATACAAAAACGAGGGAAATAAAAGCAAATAAATATTAAATGCAATACACTCAATACAAACACAGCAGAGACAGCAGCAGCAGCAGCAGCAGCAGCAGCAGCGAACTGGCAAGCAGACAGCCAACGGGCAAAAACAGACATGACAAAGCACAGGGCGCGGGGTAGTGAGGGGCTGGCTGAGAATGCTAGGGGTTAGAATATGGCTGATAGAAAACGATGAGCAGCGAGCCCGAGTCTGTGACAGGATGCGAGCGGCCCACTTGCATAAATCTACATTGAGACCATTTTTCATACTCGCTACACAAGGCTGAAAAGAGAATATTGGGTTAGTGTGGCCAAAGAGACGGCCTCTAATCCAAAGTAGTCTATGACTAGAATTTGATTTGTCATGGCAGAGTATGGCTGAGTCGATTACGATTTAGTTTCAGCTTCGGTCTGCAACGAATTGAATTCATTTTCTCTTGCAACGCGAAGGTCGCAATCTGAGTTAAAGCTAATGCAAACATCATTTAATGGGCAGCATCAACTATAATGCCTCGATGTCAAACTAACTGACACTGACCAATTAAATGCGCGCCCTCGCCCCCTCCCCCTGTCGAGCCACTGGCGGGCTGTCAGGTTGTCAAGCCTGGATTAACCATTTCATAAATATGACAGCAATTGCCACAGAAGAAGCCACCACAGCATGTGACCACAGCATAATGGCAACAACGAAACACACACACACACACACACACATACATAGAGAGATACACGAGGATTCACTCCCACACACATATTCAGCATTCATTAAATATAAATATTTATGAGCTTTCAATTGAATGCATGCAGCGCATAAAATAATGATATTCATTTTGTGGCATGTTTTTAAATTAACCACAGAGTGGTTCTTAAATACCCTATTTTTAATAAGCTTACAATATAAATATATAAATTATGCACTAAATGCATGTTTAACAGCAACACAGTTGCAATAGCTGTACAATAGGTAAAACTAACTGTAATTCATGTGCAATTTGTATGTAAATGCTTAGGGCACTTTAAGTAATACAGACAAGATAATAAATTACTAATCTATAATTTAGTTTTAGTCAACAGCTTTGCGTTAAATGAATTGTTTGCCATATTTAGTCTTATATTGCCAGCAAAAATATTTTATTTTATTTATTTTTT